GTATGTTTTATTCTTTTTTCCAGGTTCAGAAGGGAAATATTTCTCCAATGAAGAAAGACTGTCATGGAAGAGATGGAAGAAGGTAGAGGATCCTCCCTAATGGAACGAAAAATGACAATCATTCTGATGTTGGAGATATATCACTTTTGAAAGTATGTTAATATTTATTACTCGTCTCGCCAAAAAACGAATTTTTTTCATATTAGATAATGTTTAACGCAAAGTATGTGTCACATATACACATAATGTAATGTGACAATTTTATTTCTAATTTTATTTAAGCTTTCAATTTTTCTTTAAACGTTATTCCTCTTTTTTTTATTTTAGCAATCTTTTCTACGAGTAATTATAACGATCGATATTTGTTACTAAATAAAAATAATTTTTTTATAATTGAATGTGGTGCTGAAGTGCTTTAGTGCTTATTTCCCCGTCTTCTTTGATGTCTGTTTGTTTAATATGTCCTCATGTATGGTGAGTACCCTTTTATTATTGTTTTGGGCATTGTATTCTTGATAATATTGGAAACATCGATTTACCCCATTTATCTTAAATACTTATATCTGGATATAGCATGATCTTGTTTCTTTATCTTTTTATCTTTATTTATTTTTTAGTTTTACCCTTATTCTAAATTCGGTGGTACAATAATAAAAGGGTACTCACCATACATGAGGACATATTAAACAAACAGACATCAAAGAAGACGGGGAAATAAGCACTTCAGCACCACATTCAATTATAAAAAAATTATTTTTATTTAGTAACAAATATCGATCGTTATAATTACTACACATGAATGGCGATTATTAGAAATGGGTGATAAGAGAACTTAAAACAATGAAGGCGTCATACAGAAAAGTAAAATATAAAAGAACGAGTAATTTAATCGTTAAAATAAAATATGAGAAGAAAGCTTAAATTTGAGAGGGCTTTTAAAGTTAAAGAAAAATTAAAGGTATAAAATTTTGATTTTAAATTTACAGAATTTGATTATAGATATGGATTTAATTTAAGATAAAGATTAAAAAAATGTAAAAAAAAATCCCTCGATACGGACCAAAGTCCGCATCTCGGAAAAAAAAGAGGAACCCGCCAGAAGGCTGAGAGAACCAAATGTATCTTAAAAGTCACTTAAAAATTCCTTAACTGGGGTAGACCAGAAAAACTACGACCAAGTAAGTTTAAAGAGGCGGAGAGTTTGAAATTTAAAGTAAAGGGATTGGCTAGTTAGCCCCCCTAAAATTAAAAGAGGAAAAAGAAAGGCGTGAATAGAGGGGTTGGTTGACTTTCCCCACAGGAAGTGCGATGACCGCAACGACCATGAGAAAGGTCACCAAGAAAGTTAAAAAGATTGCTAAAATAAAAAAAAGAGGAATAACGTTTAAAGAAAAATTGAAAGCTTAAATAAAATTAGAAATAAAATTGTCACATTACATTATGTGTATATGTGACAATATATATATATACATAAGCTTTTAAAAAAAACACTCCTTTTTGCGGATATAATCGGGTGAGCTGATGACGAGATTATATATGTTTTCATTATTTTGTTTTTCGGCTTTTTAATAATTTTTTTAACGAAAAAAATATTCTTTAAATATTTTGAAATTATTTCATTTTAATAATTTTTCGTCTCTTTTCATTAATATTTGTTATGTTATATTCCATATTCTCTCTGTACTTTTATCTTATTTTCTGAGTTTTATATATTTGCAGCCTATGCGCAGTTAATAAAACTTATAATTTATTATTTTTCTTCGTTTTTCTCTCTTTTTATCATTTTTGTCTTTATCGTGCATAATAATAAATAAATATACATTATAAATAAATAACACGTTAGTAAAAAAAAAAAATTTAAAAAGAGGCAAACTCATTATTTTAACAGGAGATAAAGGTGATACAGTGCACAGAAATTTGGGCTATTGATGTTATTCTGACGCAACCTATCACTCATTTCTTTTCTTAACTGGTTAGAGCATGTGTGGGAAAAGGAAAAGTACTCCCATAAAATGAGTTTTTTTGTTTTGTTTTTTTATAATGCAAAAAAAGTAAATAAATTAATAATTATATTAATATATTATAATAATATATTATCAAAAAATTTTATTTTATTTGGAAACATTACAATAAGTCTACTTAAATATATGAACTGATTGTCATGCAGACAATGACAAAATAAATTCGCTTCGAACCAAGAAAGAATATATAAAATGCGTACAATGCGCAAAATATTTTTAAGCGATTTGAAAATTTTTTTTACAAAATTATAAAATTCATTTATTTAAAAAAAAACTTCGTGTCAAAAATAATTTTTAATAATCACTTTTTATTTTATTTAATGGTTGTCGAAAAAATTTTGAACTGTAATTTATACAATTTATTTACATCATTTTAAACATGTAATTGTACGATGGTAAAATAAAAAAATTTTACGAAATCGGACGAATTGATTCTGAGTTAACAAATTGTAAACAAGCATATTTAAAATTTGATTACTTGAGAACTATTTGACCGATTTCCTTTAAAGTTTTTGTCATTTAAGATTACCATTAAGATTATTATTGTCTAAATTTTTCCATTTAAGATTACATTCTTTAAATGATGTAAAAAAAAAGAAATTTCTTGCAATTCGAAAGTTTTTAACCACTGCAAAATAAAATGTTAAAAAGATAATAAATAATTATTAAAAATTATTTTTTGCATCTTTAAGCGAATTTTATTATCGTGTGCAAAAAATTTTTGATTCACTTTCTAAGTCTCGAGACATGTCAAAATACACAAAAAGTAAAATCAACATTAAGGGCTCTAAAATTTCGACTGCTCTTCTGATTGGGACTTTTGTGATCACATTTCCCAGATTGTGACTATACTTTATGTTTTGTGGGTCAGGTATCACAATCCGTCGAAAAAATATATGTTTATTCAGAGAAAACAGGCTTATGTATCTGATTTCGTAACTTAAAATATCATCTGCACTAATTAATTAGGATATTTGAGGTCAATCATCGAACAATTAAAATTGTTTCTTACATGAAAATTCGATTATTAGAAACAGAAATTATTCTGGATGTCCCATTTTTGTGCACTGTACATGTGTAATGGTGACAATATTTAACGCTTTTAAAATAAATGAGTAAATACATCAATTTAAAACACAGTGCAATCTGTTTTTGAAAAATATAACACTCTGTTTTATTACATGAATTAACTAACAACTTGACAACTTAAAAAAAATGCACATTATTGATGCAAAAAATTTTTATGAATTATTTCCTCATTGTAAAAAATAATAAAAAATTTACAAATTGCCCTTCATTATGTTAATTACATCTTAACTTAAGTAAACAAGTCCTTCTTAAAAATTTTGACTACTTATTTCTTGAAACATATTGATTTTTGAAAAACATGACACCCACTTTGTAATTAATTTGAAATAAGTTTCTAAGAAATTCTTCATTGCAAAAAATTATACAAAATTCACAAAGTGCCCTTCATTATATTAACTATATATGCTCTTTACGTACAATGATTTGGACTAAGCAAATTCTCACGTTAAGAGCATATATGAATAATATATATGTA